CTGCGTTGGGGATGCTGCTTTGGGTGGGAGGTGAGCCTTTCTGACATCCAGGGTTCAGTGCCTCTGAGGGGCTGCTGTTCTATGAACACCTCTCTCTAGTGCTTACTTGCTGTTGGCAGGTACTGTCTCTATATATTGACTCATTTGATCCTCGTAACAGCCCTGCAGTATCGATACTTTGATTATCCTCATTTACAGTTGAGGGGACTGAGGCACAGAGTAATTTTGTAGCTCACAGGAAAGAGTGAGGGAGCTAGGATTTGAACCCAGCCAGTCTGGCTCCTGGCCCCACACGATACGGACTACCATGGCACCTCACCTGTGTTGAGTTCAGAGTAGAGAGGTTTCTGTCTTTATCCCAAGGCCACAAATAAATACTTGGTGAGGGAACGAGTGAGGTAACACATGTACAGGCACATCTCAGATGTTGCAGGTTCGGTTCCAGGCCCCCACAACAAAGCGAGAATCACAATAAAGCGAGGGGTAATCTTGCTGTTGGAGGGTCTTGCCTTCAGTTTGTTAAAAATGTATCCTCTGTGATGCACAGTGAATGGAGGTATGCCTGCAATGTGCAGTAGGTGTTCTCACTATTTTTAGGACGGGTCTCAGATGTGAGAACCACTTGAAACCAATTAGATGTGAACATCTAAGAGCAGCATAGCCTGGGGCTGTGAATGTGGAGAAATTGTCTTGGAAGCAGTTGCTATTCCTTCCATCTCTGGTCTGAGAGTGACCCCTGGTGATTTTAAAGAGGAAGGGCAGGCGGGAAACAATGCCGCCCCTCCCTCTGGTTTCCGGGCCACTCCAGGGCCCTGACCACACCGAGCAGAGTGTGCACCCTCTGGTGTCAGAGGGCTGTGTATGTCACCCAAGCCCGGGCCTTGGGGTGGGGGCTGGGTCTGCATAAAATGCCTCAAGCCTCAGCCACTCGAAAGCACCGCAGGTGGTCTGTGGAGTCCAGAGCTGCTCTGGGGGTTCTGAGCCCTGTGGCATCTGAGAGGGTAGAGCTGACCCAGTGACTGCTTGTCTCCTGCGGTCTGTCTGCAGAGCTGGGCCTGTGGCCAATGGTGCCCGGAGAGATCTTGGTTCAGGGCCCTCAGGAGAGGGCCAGTGGGCAAGGGGCCTTGCCTTGGTGAGGTCAGGTAGGTGGAAACAGACATGATGAGCAAGTGGTCACGGTGGGCCTAGCCTTCTGCCTCTCTCCTCCCCTCTCCTTCAGCATCTGGCCTTTTCCATGGGAAGTCAAGCTCGCTCCTTAGAAACCCTGACTTGCACTTGTCTCCATGGCAGGCTTAGAAGCACAGGGGGAGTGAGGCTGGGTGGCCCTGCCCTCTTTGGTCTGAGAGCCCCCAGGGCCATTTCCTGAGCTGCCTGGTGCAGTGGCACTGACTGGGGGCCTTGGGTGGGCTGGACTGTCAGGGAGTGAACAGTCATGGAGCAGGTATTTTTATTAAGTTCTGTTTTCCTGTTGACTTCCTTGGCTGTTTCCATCCTGTCTTATGTCGAGTCTTTGTTTTGGCAGAAGCACTTGTGGTCTTTCAGGTTTCTCTGTCTCCTCCACCCCTCCCTCGAGCTGCCCAGCCCCTGAAGAGGGGCTGCACACTGCACAGGGCCCTTCCCCGGGGCTCCCAGAGGAGAGCGCTGCGGCCTCCTGCTCAGGCACATCGACGGCTCTCTGCCCCCGGCCCCCAGAGCCAGGCCAGGCAGAGTGCTGGGCCGTCAGCCCTGACACTGGCTCTGGTCAGCACAGAGGGCCGACTCCGGCTCTGGCTCCCTGACGGTGCCACTGTGCCCTCTCCTCACAGGTACCTCATCAACTTCCTCCTGGACGCCACCGTGGGCATGCTGCTCATCTACCTGGGGGTGCGTGCCGTCAGCGTCGTGGTGGAGTGGCAGCAGTGGGAGTCCCTGCGCTTTGGCGAATATGGTAACGTACCATGGACACTGGCGGGGAATGCGGGGGATTCCTAGAGGGGCTCCTTGCCCTGTGCAGCCCTCCAGGCCAGTGGATTCAGAGAAGATTCAGGAGTTGGTGGCTGTCTCTTCCGTGGTGGAGGGACTTGTTCTGGGTCCCGAGTGCCATCCTCCCCCAGCGTCAGAGTGCCCCGCGTCGGGGCATGTGGGTGCTCACTTCACTGCTTGGCTTCGGTCTTGTAGCAGGAGACACACTAAATGCAGAGAGTGGGACAGCGCTGGCCTCTTCCACCAGAGGGCACTAGCGGCCCACCTACAGAGTCATGAGGCCACCGCACTGGGCCAAGCTGCCACCTCCTTAGAGAGATGGGGTGGCTTTTGGTTTGGAGGTGCTCAGTAGGGAGCTGCCCCTCTTTCTGTTTGTCCTCTCCTTGGGCCATTTTATTACAAAAAGTCAGGACTGGAGCGTCCATCCCCCTGGGCCCGTCACCTTGCTACCTCCTATGGGCTGGCCCCCCCCCCCAGCATCTGACACGTACAGTCACCAAGGACACCAGTTCGATCCTCACTCGCAGAGATGCGACTTAAAGCAGGTGACTTACGGATGCTGGCCCAGCTTCGACCCCCTTGCACCTTGTCAGACCGCATGGGGCACAGCTTGTGTAGGAGGCAGCCCCATGCTGGTCCTGAGCACAAATGCCGTTTACTCTGCACTCCCAGAGAAACGGCCGATGTGGCCCCACAGGGCTGCGGGCGAGGGTGCCTTCTCCGGGCTCTGCCACAGCCTGGTGACTCAGGACCTGGTGACTCAGGACCTGGGGATTCAGGGTCAGGGGACAGCAGCTCCCTCCACCGTCACAGCTGGCCCTGCTGCCTGGAGGAAGGAGCTCCTGTTCTCGGTGGGAACAGCATACATGGAACCTTCACTGTGAAAGGTGCACACAGCTCAAGAGGGAGGGAATGCAGGTGGAAATCTGGGTCCTCCTCGCCTTTCCTGGGCCCGAGGGCTGCTCACTCCTACATGACCCAACACTCACTAGAGACTGACATTTTAAAGGGGGAGCCGATTCGTGGAGCAGGCTGTGATGAGTGCCTGGGGTATTTCTAGAAATCTTAGTAATTGTCTGTCTCCATTGAGGGGAGATGAGCTCAGGGGAGGGCTTTTCTTAGCCTGGTTACCTGATGCCTGGTGAGTCACTGACCTAAGATAGTGTCCGACACACACGTGTGCTCCTGTGGCTCCAGGGAAGGCTTCTGAGGAGCCCTGAGTCATGGACTCCTCAGCTTGGAGGATGGAAACGGACACAGCGCACATGGACCAAAGCAGCAACATCCTCAGGCATAGGATAGGCACCCTGCGGGGTTGAGCGACACAGGAAGCTCACCCTGCCAGTGCCTGGGGTGGCTCGTGGCTGCCACCTTGGGTTCCTAAGCCTCCCGTCACCTCCAAGAACAGTGCTCATCACTGCTTCCTTGCTGTTAAGATCCTTCTGGAAGGCAGGGTTCTCAACAGTCGCTTACCGGTGCCCAGGAAGTCCACCACAGCCAGTCGCGAGCCCCTCAGTGACCTGGGAGTGGAGATCGGGTCTGGTCCTGATACACCAGGCATTATGGTTCCACCTGCTCCGGGGTATTTTTTCTGCATCTCCAAGAGTGCACTGGAAGGAAGAAGGCAGTGGGTGTTTGAATCTATTTCCATGCCAGCCTCCTCTTACCCGTTTGGCCCCTGCCCTTGGGCCACCACTGCTGCCTTCGGGAATCCGCGTTATCTCACCAGGGTGTCTCCAGAGGAAGCACTTGATCACGGACGTCTCGAGTCCTCCCACCCCAGGTGCTGGAGGATAGTGTGTGTCCTCCGTCACCCGATTTCTATTTCTGCCCATTTCTTTTGTTTCTGTTGCTCTTACAACACATTATCACAAAGTTGGTGGCTTAAAACGGGCACAAACTTGTTACCTTACAGTCCCTAATTCAGAAGTGAGACGTGGGTCTCATGGACTGAAATCCTGGTGTCAGCAGGACTGGTTCTTTCTGGGTCTCTAAGAGCAGAGTCCATTTCCTGGCCTCTCCCAGCCCCCGAGGCTGCCTGCAGTCCTTGGCTGGGGGCCCCTTCCTCCTCCTTCAGAGGCAGCAACAGCAGGTTGAGTTCCTCTCACATCCAATCACTCTGACCTTCTGCCACCTCCCTTTACTCTGAAGTGCCCTTGTGATGACACGCCCCCCCCCCCGCCCCCGCCCCAGACTCTCTCTGTCTTAGAGTCAGCAGACTAGCAATTCCATTTGCAGCCTTAATTCCTTTCGGCCACGTTACCTGACATGTTCACAGGTTCTGGGGACTAACACGTGGCTGTCTCTGTGGGGCCATTATTCTACCTGCCACACCTGTCAGCCAGCCATCCGCTTGAGGCAGCCATTCCATGTGGACCCCAGAGCTCTCTTCTCAGTAAATGAAGAAGAGGGGCTTGTTTCCTAGGTGCTTCCATGGTCCCTAGAAGAGAAGGTGAACTTGCTAACAAGAACATGGGCCTTGGGGAATGCCACCCAGCCCTGAGGGCTGAGACAGGATCCAGGCACTGTGTGGTGTCTGCAGTTTGGTGACCGGGCTGCTCTCCCCCAGGCAGAAGCCCTGAAAACAAGGTCTGTGTCCCGTGGGCACCAGTGGTTCATGGCCTTGGCCGCCCGTCCTGCCCTCACGCTCCCTTCCAAAACCTCTCTAGATACAGACGTGGTCCCTCCTCTTGGCCCCTTTCCTGTAATTGATCCTGAGGAAATAATTCAACAAAGCAAAGCGTCCATGTACCTAAGGGTGTCCGGTGTGGTAAAAAGCGTGACACAGCAAGAATGCCTGGCTTGTTTGTCTTTAAAAGATGAGACCACGGGGAACATACGACTCTCAAATGGAACAGAAATCAGAAAAACAAGCAGGTGGGCTCATGATGCACAGGAGGAAATGATGTGAGAGTCGGGTTACACTTGATTTTTTCCTTTTTCCATGTTTTTTTTTTTTCCACTTATTGAAGCATCTAAATGAAAAAGAGGCAGCTGCAGCTAAGTTGTGGCTCTGAAACTCAGCAGCGTGAGCGGCAGGAGGCAGATGAGAGAACGGTCCCTCTTGTCAGTCACTTAAAAGTGAAGAGCAGAGGGAGTAAACACACTCTGAGCAAGTCAGTTTCTTTAGATAGTGAATGAGTGTTGCCACTTGTTCTGTTGACTCTTGAACACTCTCGTCCCCACTCAGGTATTTCCTACCAGTGCTTTCTGTCTGGCTGTCCCCAATCTTACTTAACGGTTTTTTACAAATATCTTGACCTGTCATTTTTGAGAACTTCTCTCCGTAAGGTAAGGTAGTCTACTGAACTACAAAACTCCCCTGAAGATCTAGCTGGGAGAGATTGTGCTTCTCAAATGATGGTTTGGCTCACATGTGTCGTCTCCCAGAAGTGGAAGTAGATAGGGTGACCTCCGGAGAGGCAACGATGTCTTCTGCGTGCTTTCTGCACGCTTCTCCCAGGGTTTTCCAGAAAAGGGAATGGCCTGCTGTGTCCATGACAGCTGCGCGAAGGCATTCCCTGCGCTCCCACTGGGTGCAGCGAGCAGGCTCAGCAGGGCTGCAGCCTCCGGCGCTGGTGCCGGCACAGGGATTGTCACGAAAATGATAGCATCGAATGAGAAGCTGGAGATTTCTCTCTGGGCCACATTCTTTCCTCAGCTTGGATCGGGGCCTTTGCCTGCCCTGAAATGTTACTCTCCAGCCCCTCCTCTGGCCAGCAGCCTCCCCCCTCCCTTCCTCTCCCCTGGGTCTCCCATTGGGGAGGCGTGTGTTGCTCCTCAGAGGCCCATCCCGTGGGTCCTGCCTTTCACTGAGGAAGTAGATCTCTCCCTGGAGGGGCTGGTCCTCCACCCTTCTAGTTCCTTTTGAAACATCTGGAGGCACATCTGGGCCTGAGTGTCCCCTCTTGTGGACCGTGGATTCCTTCACTTCTCAAGCATAGTGACTGATGGGACCTCAGGGGGCCCTCTGTCAGCCCCGAGGCATAGCCCATCTCTCCTGGCCTCGAGGACTTCCTTTTCCCCAGTCCAAGGTGTTTTGGGTGCCCCATCCCAGGCAGAATCTGAATTCCTCCAGAGATACATTTCTGCTTTTAGGGCTGAAGCAGCAGGGGAGTAGGGAGAGGGCGTGGGAGATGAACAAGGAGGTTGTTTGCTGCCTTCATAATTCAAAAAT